TCCTTGTTGTGGCTAGGTTGTGGCTGGGGGGGAAATATTATTCCTTGTTGTGGCTAGTTTGTGTCTGGGGGGGAAATATTATTCCTAATAATAAACAAAAGCAACTCTGGTGAATGGTTCTGATAAATCAAATAATTCAATTGATCATGTACTTGAACACTTTCCATACACACTTTCCATATTCTGTGTACAGGTACTCCCAGCCAAGGACATCACAATAACATGACGAACCTTTGTACACCCAACACACTGATCTATCATATATGGAACACGTATCAAATAAGGAATCTTGTTCCTAATTTGGAAAGATTGTCTAAAATTAAACAAGGCACAGATATTTACTTATCAGAATCATGATACTAATAGATGTTATTTCTCTGCTATGTCTGCCTCAACAAGTGTATGTTGATCAGAACTAATTTACAATTTGTCATCGCATATTTTTAGAGTTTATACTAACAATAAAGTCTTTTGTATCTGCTGTATTCCGTCTTTGCGTATTGCAGAGTTATCTTCTCTTTAGAACAGGTATTGATTGTGACGTCATTTGTTTGTGAGAGTAACGTCATCAATTTTTGAGAAAACGACGTAATTTTCTCAACCAAACCAATGACGTAACAATCAATACCTGCTCTCAAGAGAAGATAACTCTGCAATACGCAGACGGAATATGTTATGTATTAGCTATCTATGTGCTGATACAATACCTCAACATGTTCAGCCTATACATCAAATACAACCGAATCTATAGATAAGATACAACTAAGCTAATATAGAAATATTGAATCCTCTATCCTTCATATTACAAACAGCCAAATTATATGCTTAACTCATTCACCTCTGAAATTTCATAATGAACTATTCCAACCTTTGAATGAGTTCAAATGTGTCTTCAGGGTTAAATGAGTTAAGATATAATGCAATCTGCATAGTTTACAATTTCCTTTCTGTGAGCAGAGTAAATTTTCCAAAATCAACATTACGATAACTCCGACATTATTTAAAAATACATTTTGCAGCACTCTTTATTACAAGTGATAAGTTCATGCTCAATAATAAGCCCTCCCCAAAATAAACCTATCTTGCATGCTTGGTCACGGAATAAGCCCTAAGCTGATCACCTGTTACATCTGGCACAATGACTGAAAGCTTCGGTCACAGACAAGATACACCTAACGACACATTTGGACTGCTCCAAAGTAAACATTTTCGGTCAATTGTGGAAATACAGGGGTGAATGAGGTGAAGGTAGTATCAGATGATAGGAAGGTAAACCCTGTTAATTATCAATTGACTTGTCCATTGCACCTCTGTATTCAAAGGCATTCAAAACATTTATTGCAAAATTTCATAATATTTTTAACAGGGAAATATTTTCAATTATTGATTGAATTACTACTAAAATGTTATTTTGAATGCAGCAAAAATGACAAACGAATTCTTATTTAAACAAATGAAAAGACAGAATACAAAGCCAATGAATAAAATAACCAATCAGAACGCAGGAACTGTGTCTGTGACATCATAGAAATCTTATCTAAAATGAAGTCCTGCCTCACAAGTTTGTAATGACCCCATGTGACATGTATCTTATCCGCTCTTTAGTTTGGTTATATAAATGTATACTGAAAGAATGGTTTGATATCATCTTTATGTCTCCAGAAAAAAGGACACAAATTTTCAAAAAATCTTGTATGAATTTTATGAAACAAATTTTAAATTAAATATTATATGATATATAATGTTCAAAAGGATTGTGCCACATGTCAAAGTATTAAGCTTTGGATTACAACTTGTACAAGAACTTTATTTCCAGAAACAATCCTGAAATTTGGAATGTAATGATTGTTTTGCATTGTAATTTTGGCAGTAACTAAGTAGTATATACAGTCAAACCTGCTTGAGCGGTCACCTGAAATAAGCAGCCACCTCCCTTATGTGGTCAGTCTGTGGTCTACCCGATAGAAAAAAATATATAATGAACCTGAAATAAGCAGCCACCTGTCTAATGTGGCCAGCGGTCACAAAACTCTTGACAAGTTGCTTACACAGCGATTTTCAGCTTGCAAATTGGGGCAGGTCCTACCGACCCATCAACAATGTTTTACAAACAAAACAATTAATCCCACCTTGTGTACTCAATCAGCTTGTGATTTCAAAACAAGTATGATCTTTTGTGGTATCTGTACATAATGTTTCCAAAGCTAGTCATGATCAGGCCTAATATGTTATGTGATCAAAAAACTTGCCGCTATATTGCATGCGGAAAACAGATCTGCTTCCGGTCTGCCAGTCATTATTTCTATATCAACGAAGCACACATCATGTCAAAAGGATGAATTTCACAGTGCAGACGCTGAATCAGATTTTGTTCCCCATTACTTTGTCGTGATTTATTTCTATAATATATTTATTTGGTTTGTAATAGCTGTGCGAGATCGGGACATTAGTGTTAATCTTTTCATACGGCTCATGGATGCTGTGAATAAACCGTAACGCTAAGTTGAAAGCTCAAAGATTCTTGCAAAGTTCTAGATTTATTGAGTGATTTATTCATAAGTGATGAATTAACTAAATACTAATATATCATTTCATTAGAAAATTATTTGAACCACACAGATCAGAATACATCGCAATGCAGATTTTCATTAAAAGTAGATCTACATGTAGATTTCAGTACTGGTGGTTGTCTGCTAGCGCAAAACGTATGTAGCCAAACAAAAATAAATGTATCATTTCAAGAAATTAATCACCAAAACGCCTTTGTATTTTATTGATAATGCATTTATATTTAATTATGAAATTGTGCCCCTGTTGATGAAGGGAGAAAAATTCAAAATAACATAGCAGGCTATATTGCCGGGAAAATGTCATTATAACCCATGGATGTATGAAAACTTGGTTGTGATTTTCGGGAGAGCCTGGGTTTAGCAGCAACCTGTCTTAAGCGGCCAATTTCTAGCGGTCCCTTGGGTGGCCTTTTAATACAGGTTTGACTGTACTACATAAATTAAAACAAAAGCCAACAGATCACTAAACAGGTGTGAACTAACGAGTGTACAGGTACGTATACAAAACACCTACAGCAGAATACTATCTTCTATATCACAGATATATAACATCAGGCCCAGATTCTTCAAAAATCTTTTCACTTTAATTATTTGGACATACTGATGAAGTACTGATTTTTTGTGACTTCAAAATTCTACAATCCACCTAAATTTTGATAGTAAATATTGAAAATTGTCACTATTGGTAGCTCCAGGTGTAAGGCTAGTGAACTTGTACACCCAGGGGTCAGGGTATGTTGTTTTTCACTGATTGTCAGTTTAGACAGATTTCACTATGGACTCATTATTATGTAATAATAGGTAATATAAAGATATATATAATATCACACAATTTGTTAACAATGAATTCCAATGATTGATGAGCTATTAGCAGGGACTTCGTATAATACCTGCAACAACTTAAGATTTGTTTTAAATAAAATGTTTACATAAACGTAAATTTTTGTATGGTAGGTCTTCCATTTTTATCCTTGAATTCCATAAAGCAATGTCTAAGGAGCCAGAAAATGAAATAAAACAAACGGCAATTAATATGGACCTAGAAGACTACCAGATTTATATAATAACTATTACAGATTTTATTTCTACTGCAGATACGTTACTACAGATCGTTGATCAGGACGAAACAGGCCTGGAAATTTGAGGAGATTTTCTTTTCAATCTGAGGACATGTGTTGTCATGCTTTCCAGTATAAACATCACATGTAGTGTCAGTACTTTTGTATATTTGCTCCGAGCAGATATCAAATCACAACATATTTCAAAACTTCCAAAAAATTCTACCCTCAAGTATAGACTGCTCTTGACATGACAATGAAACAAATAAAATATTATACAATCACTGGCTGCTAAACAAAGACTGGACCAAACCAGTTTTATTATTGGACCATTAATATTTGTTCTTTCTACCACAGTTATAGTACTCTGAGAAACAATAACAATAATGTTTTTGACCAACTTAATGGTGTTCAGTTAGATAAATAGGGAGAACTATCATTAGTGTCACCTATAGGCTATATTTACAGTACGACAGGACATCAACAAAAACAATCTCATTATGGTTCGTGCAGTGATTAAAGCAGATGAACATGACAATGCTATGAGGTGTGTCAGCTATCACATACACATTTACTTTCATTCTTATTTTATCCGTGAAGATATCATTGAGCCTGGCTATAAAATACAACATAATTGTCTACAAACTTGTTCTCTTCTCGTTAGGTAATACCATATCTCGTATACCATAGCTCGTTAGGTAATACCATAGCTCGTTAGGTAATGCCATATCTTGTATACCATAGCTCGTTAGGTAATACCATAGCTCGTTAGGTAATACCATATCTCGTATACCATTGCTCGTTAGGTAATACCATATCTCGTATACCATAGCTCGTTTGGTAATACCATAGCTCGTTATGTAATACCATATCTTGTTAGGAAATACCATATCTTGTTAGGTAAGACCATATCTCGTATACTATTGCTCGTTAGGTAATAACATAGCTCGTTAGGTCATACCATATCTCGTATAACATAGATCGTTAGGAAATACCATATCTCGTTAGGTCATACCACATATCGTATACCATAGCTTCTTAGGTAATACCATAGCTCATTAGGTAATGCCATATTTTGTATACCATAGCTCGGTAGGTAATACCATAGCTCATTAGGTAATGCCATATCTCGTATACCTTAGCTCTTTAGGTAATCCCTTAGCTGGTAAGTAATGCCATATCTTGTATAACATAGCTCGTTAGGTCATACCACATCTCGTATACCATAGCTTCTTAGGTAATACCATATTTCGTCAGGTAATACCAGAGATCGTATACCATAGATCGTTAGGTAATACCCTATCTCGTATACCATAGCTCGTTCGGTAATACCATAGCTCCTTAGGTAATACCATATCCAGTATACCATTGCTCGTTAGGTCATACCATAGCTCGTATACCATAGCTCGTTTGGTAATACCATAGCTCGTTAGGTAATACCATATCTCGTATACCATAGCTTGTTAGGTAATACCATATCTCTAAAGTATGAAATAGGGCCATTTCTGTTGATCAAATTTTAAACAGTTTGACCCGATTTAATCTTTGATGAACAGGGACCTACTAGTCTGAATGTCTTACTTGACTTGGTAAAGACTTTCAAAAATCTACAGCAGCATTTATTTAAACGAAACCGAAACCTGAATTTGAATTAAAAAGAAGACCAACCGGTCATTTTGCGTAAACAAAAAAGTCCTTCCAGAAAACTTATCGACTAGTTTCTCCTGCTTGTCTATACACACTTCTAAATAAAGCTTTAAAAAGTGGGAACCTTATTGACTAGATTCCTCTGCTCGTCTATACATCAATTAAACTACAGCTTGAACCAACAAAGTTGTACCCCACATTAAAGAACAATATACTCCACTACATGTATACAAATGATAAAAAATAAAGGATTTCATAAACTGAATGGGACAAAATTTGAAACAACAGTATACAACACAATATTTTTTACATAAATTGCAGTAAGCAGATTTCCAATACAGTTGGCTCTAATACAACAATCATTTGTTTCATTAAAAACAACAAATTAATTTGTTTCATTAAAAACAAATGAATTTTGGTTCAGACTATGAAAATCTACAAATAAGGCTTTTTTTGCTCAAGTAATTATCAATCTCCTTTTTTTATATTAAAAAGTTTTTTTGGTTGATTCTCAATAAGTATTTTTTGTCCTGCTAAACTCACAAAAAATTTGATTGATTGCTATCTTTGAGCACCTCCGGCTCTCACTGTATTGGACATTGTGCTTATGAGGACATTGAAGAAAACTTTTTAATTTCTTTTGAGGATTTTGATCTGAGCTGGCATAGAAGACTGTTCATAATTCTATATAGGAAATGAAAAGTTGTGACAAAAACTGTTATTATGATAGGAACACTCTTGGACTATACACTAGGCAAAATCCAAAGGACGATTTTCACAGGAAAAGACCTTGTTATATGTACATATTTCTCCAGAGGTGTGTTCTGGATGTGATCCCCAGGTCCTCGGAGGGAATTATAATGGACAACATCTTTATAAACCTCGGAAGGAATCAATCACACGGTCTTATCAATATCGGGGAGGGTGGAATGGTTATCGCCGGCTATCTGATTATCCTTCACTGGAATGAACGATACAGTGTACTGTACATCCTCCAGTTTCCTGGAGAAACTAACCCAAGGGACACCTGGGTGATCCCCTAGATGATACACTTTCTGTGAAGGTTACGTACATACTAGAGTGTCCACATCAGCTACAACTTAAAATTGGACCAAGTAGTTATCCACAAATCCCAATATGAATTATTTTTGAAGCATTCTCAACGCTCCTGAATACACAACAACATATATCCTATGTCCTCCGTTGTATGAGACCGTCGGCTTTACCAGCGTCGCCATTACCCACGTGAGGCAGAATGGTGTTAAAGTCTTTCATCGAGTCGTTAGCGTTGTCGTCGCTGTTATCCGCCTCATCATCATCCTCTGTGTCACTGCGTACATCCTTCTTCAACTGCGCATGATAAAAAATGTAACCGTTACCAGTACGCCTATTGTAGTACATTCTGTTTAGAGTTGTGTAAACCAGCATGGTCTGGTCAGATGTAACCGTTTCCAGTACGCCTATTGTAGTATATTCTGTTTAGAGTTGTGTAAACTAGCATGATCTGGTCAGATGTAACCGTTACCAGTACACCTATTGTAGTACATTCTGTTTAGAGTTGTGTAAACTAGCATGATCTGGTCAGATGATCAGACTGGTTGCATAAACAAAATGACATCCTTAAAACTATCCAGATCGTAGAAACCCAAACAATCAAAATCATGGAATAAGTAGCCTTGTTGCTTAGAAGTATGACAGACAAACGGACACACCCGTATAAATACTCCCTAGTTTCTCTTAGCTATTGGAATGAAAATGGGCCCAAATTTGTCTTAAGCTTGACCATGACCCTGTGATGACCTGACATTGATAGTAATATGCAAAACAGTTATTGGAAAAGTGTACACTTCAGTTGCTTCATTTAATATCCTGATTACCAGAAATGGTACACAAAAGTTCATTCAGTTGATGTTTCAGTTACCAGTTATGTGCACTGGTGTGTTTTGTGAATAATCTCCAGTGAAAAAAGAAGTAGAATACTATAAGTGTCAAAATAAGTCCCCTGGAAGTAAAGAAAAATATTGTTAGAGTTACCTCCCCTTCTGTGAACTTCTGGAAGGCTATAGAGAGGATGGAGTAGGTCCAGAGGATATGTAATACTTGGAGGAAGAGCAGCAGTCCCAGGAAGATGTTGTGTACCGGGAAGTGATCCACATACTCATGAATCTCCACCATACTGGCGTACAACATTCTACAATTATAATATTACAGATTTAAAGAACACTCTATAATATCGAAAAATAACCTTGATTGAAGAAAAAAAATTAATTTAAAACTAATAACACAAATTATTATGGTTTAAGAATATACCACACAATCTTTAAAATTATCCTGTATCTTTGAAAAATGAAAATTAGACAAACAAGTAGCTCTTGCTGTTCAATTTATCTGGAATATCTTGTTGAAAATAACCCACTAGAATTTTATGATGTTTTTTCCTTATCATGAAACCTTACTCATGTCAAAAAGTATTTGAAATATTTCTCCAAAACTTTCAGATTTATTCCTCAGGCCTAGATCTATGACTGAGTTTGAGCTATGACTGAGTTTGAGATATGACTGAGTTTGAGCGCTTACTTGAAGGGGAAGACGTAGCATCGCGTGAACAGCCACAGGAGGATAAACACACCAAACAGCACCTCACAGAGTGTCTGCTTCTTGCAGTACTTGGCCATTTTTGCACTCTGAAAAATTGAAATTAAAACACCACCTTAATCAATAGTACACTGAAAACATAAAGTGTAACAATTACCGTAGTAAGGGTAAGTTTTACCTCAGTATTCTTTTACAAGTTAAGATAAATCTATAAATTCAACGACAACAATTCCTTGTCAAACACTGCAAACACAGCAATCTTAAAACTATGTATATGGCACTCTCCAATTTCCCTTATTGAGCCCCATTCTTCTGTCCAAAAGGAAAGCCACACCCACTATTTATAAGACATTGAATCCACTTCATCCAGGGAAGCTCAATGGAAAATTTAAGTGTTTTTTTTTCCAAAGAAGTAATTTTTTAAACATGAACGCTTCTTTCCCGTTTTAGGCCCCTCACCTTTGCTCCAGCATAAATCAGTGTTGGTGTTGAGGTGACCCGTACATAAATAAGGACAACACAATGTCATACCTTCCCAATATCCATAGCACTATTGCTAATGCTAGGATTTAGGCACGAATCAACATTTTATACCCAGTCTTTTCCTACCAATTACAATACTGAGATGACTACTGCCAAAGCACCATCAAAGACGGAATGTCTGACTTTGTCATCGTCCCATTATTACTTACTGCCATCCAGTTGTCGGCGACATCGTGTGTGATGACGATCATACAGCCCATACGAGAGAAGTTGATTCCCCAGGAGAATCCCATCAGGGCCAGTGTTATAACGTGGTGAAGTGTCATCTCCATCCAGTCCTGTAACAGACCCAATTCTACTGTAAGTTTCAGACGAACAACAGTTGTATACCAAAAATATTGAACTTATTATATATTTTGATATTTTTCAAGAGTAAGCAGCATGAGCGAAAAATCTGAAATATATACAACGAAGGAGTGAAATGTATTTATTCATCATGAACCCAAGACTTTTCTGTTTCTTAATTTTTTTCTTTAAATGGCTTTCCTTTGACTGCAAGATTTCATTTAAATTTGTTCAGTGGGTTTTTGAGAAGAAGTCAAAAATGATAAAAGCTTATGCAAGACGTACAACGCACAAAGGAATGGCAATAGCTCAAACTAGCAATCATGTGAACTAAAAATGATTAGGACCAATTAAGATGAATGTATAATGTCCTTACCTTTCTCCTGTAATCAAACACTAGTGAGAAGAGAAGGCCCCAGTAGTACCCCATCTCAAGTAAATAGTACCAGTACAGACCATCGGAGATGTGCTGCAACCAAACAAGAAATCATTCACACATTAAATATACCAATGTCACCTCTTGACAACAGTGTATATTTCCGTTTCTAATACTTTTGAGAAATCAGAAGAAGATTAAATCATTTACCCTGAAGACATATTTGAACTCTTCCAATTCCAAGGTTGGAATAGTTTATTATGGAATTACAGAGGTAAATTCAGATGAGAACTTACCTGATAAGGCCAGTCTATGAAACAGTACTTGGTTTCCCAAAACCAGGGTTCCTAGGAGATAAAAACAACTATTAGTAAAACATTGAACAGTGCAAACAAATTTTCTACAAAACAATATCAAAACTCAAGGGTGAATAACTCAAAATAAAATTCAGATTTTTTTAAAAAACCATTCCAGTGTATACTTATTACAGTGGTAGAACTTCATGTGGTTTCAACAGCTTTACATATAATGGGTATCACATCTGTATTATCACATGTAACCTTTTATTGTCTACAATATGTAACCTAAAGTTACATGTTTAACATGTAAATTATAACATTGTTATAATTCAGTAATTTAGTAATCTTATTCTTGCACTTTTGATTGAACTACATACAGTTACTATGTATTCCTTCTATCACCCACATAAATTGCATTTAAATTCATCAATCAAATAATTCAGAAAAGTATTGATAATGTGCTAAGACACAGGTGTTGGAAAAATAAGAACTTAACAGTAAATCTACATGAACGTTAATTTGAACTACTGTCCAACCGTAATAACATTAATGATACGCTTTTTGAATTATTTTACAAAATTGGAGGTGAAACTTATCAATGGATTTTGTTCAACTGATATTTTTCTAAAAATTGTGTCAAAACATAATTTTCTGAAACCACCGAGTAACCTCCTTCAGTGTATATCTTCACAGAGTCAGTGATTTTTAAGTTTTTAAAAAACTATCTAAAAGATTAGCATGAAAAGTGCTAAAATATTATTACTGCTAAAAACCTGTTAATACATACAGACATTTATATAGGTATATATTTACCTTTAAATTTGAACAGAGTTTAAATCAATTCTCAGAAAAGTGTATTTAAGTCTCTTCGTATGGAAATCTGTTTGAAAGGTGGTATCATATATTACATATTTAACTGATGACAACATTACTTGACATGGAACATGGAAACAGGATAAAAGAAATTTACACAAACATAACATACAACATGATACTACAGGGTCGTGTGAGTGGGTATCTGTGTTACCACAGGAACGAGTGAGTGGGTATCTGTGTTACCACAGGAATGGGTGAGTGGGTATCTGTGTTACCACAGGAACGAGTGAGTGGGTATCTGTGTTGCCACAGGAACGAGTGAGTGGGTATCTGTGTGACAACAGGAACGGGTGAGTGGGTATCTGTGTTATCCCAGGAACGGGTGAGTGGGTATCTGTGTTACCACAGGAACGAGTGAGTGGGTATCTGTGTTACAACAGGAACGGGTGAGTGGGTATCTGTTTTACCACAGGAACTAGTGAGTGGGTATCTGTGCTAACACAGGAACGGGTTAGTGGGTATCTGTGTTACCCCAGGAACGGATGAGTGGGTATCTGTGTTATCCCAGGAACGGGTGAGTGGGTATCTGTGTTACCCCAGGAGTGCGTTCCTATTTCACCCACATGCCAGTACATTCATTTATTCATTTAAATACATACAAACAATTAGAGCATGCAAAAAAAAGATTTCAATAAGATACTGAATTCCTAGTTAAAAATAAGTAAATAAATGATTGACTTAAAACTCATCTCCTTTGATATTTAATATCTGAATAACACTGAAGAGAAGAAGGGTATCTTTTTAAGATTTGATGAGACTTATTAATTAATTGATCAATTTCTTGTTGATAGATATATATATATCTTCTCTGTCTGTTACATGTGAGGGTCAGATGGAGGATCCTAATGTACTAACTGATGTCACTATTCATTCCCGTCACCTCCAGTTAGCAGGGATATCGGAGGTCTGGATCCCGATATACCAGAACATATGAAAGCAGATTTAGATCAATTTATACCTTCCTGTTTGGGTCTCATCACTATTCTGATGCATAATAGGGTGTAGGGTAGCATGTACATACAACAAAGAAGACAACCCTATTTTCTATCATCAGCTTTTAAGTAAATCTGGGTTGGTCAGTCTGGTCTGATCATGTTGAATATGTATGTTTTTCATTCCCTGAAAGTTGCACACTTTGGAGCAATTTTCTTGAGATAACATAGAAGCTATACAGATGTTGTAGATGACTATTTATTCTGAGAGTCAGGATTGATGCCTGTAGCTGCAGTATATTGTAAACACATGTCTCCCTATTGGTAGCTAGTGTAGGTTAGTAGTTTTGTGTACCAGCATGACGTAACACCTATACAAATCAATTTCCTGTAAATTCTATCACATATGGATCATCCTTCTATAGTATGGCTGTAATAAACATGTTATTGTGGCATTATTGATATATTTAAATTAATCTTCCAAGTTATCTATATCTAAAAGGTATAAATATTTTGCTTATTCAAAGCACAGATGAGGATTTTGAAATTGAGCTCATGCTCCTCAAAAACCACGCAAAGTTTAGACCCATTTATCTTTTTTCTTTTTGAGAAACTCCTTTTGATATACAATTTTGAAATAGCCACATAATTTCAGCAGTAATATTTTCTTCTTTTTTATATATATAAACATTCTAAAAAACATAATTTATGATAAATTGCGCAAGTCAGATCCACAGAAAAATGATTACACCTTATGATAGCCCAATTAGTAATCTACACCTACATAATACTTATAAGTACATTGTTCAGGTTTATGATGCATACAGCCTAACCATAACAGTATTGACAAGTCTGGATCTCAAATATATTCACCATCAATTCTGCTGAAAAATTCCATGGAATAGTCAATACCTGGGACACACTCAAGAGCAATTTCTAAATGACTGGATTGTTTTTTCAGGAAAGAGAAATAATAACACTAGTATGTAAAACAAGAGCACCGCAAACGGATGCATAATACGCCCGTCTGACCCTATCCAATGATTCTTTGTTTGTTTGATATTTAAAGTACCTTTAGGTAGCCAGTGTCATGTCTATGTGATAACAAGAGGCCCATGGGCCTTAACGGTCACCTGAGTCTATAGTATTTATTTTTGTTGTTGAAATATGTACCAATTTGAGTAAAAAATAGTATAATGTTAACTTAACTTTGTCAGGACCATGAGCTGATCATTCCTAGACCAATTTTAAGTGAGATCGGCCTATTAGAACTTAGTAGCAAAATAGCGGCCATGGCAGCCAAATTGTATTTCTGATTGACCCGAAAAATAACAACACTTTGTCAGGACCATGATTCGATCATTCCTACAAAGTTTCAGTTCAATCGGCCAAGTAGATCTTTACTTTAAGTTTGAAATAGTTTACCAAAATGGCAGCTGTGGTGGCCATATTGGATTTCTGATCGACCTGAAAAATAACAACACTTTGTCAGGACCATGAGTCAATCATTCCTACAAAGTTTCAGTTCAATCGGCCTAGCAGAACTTGACTTTAAGTTTGAAATATGTTTTCAAAATGGTGGCCGTGGCGGCCATATTGGATTTATGATTGACCTGAAAAATAACAACACTTTGTCAGGACCATGAGTCGATCATTCCTACAAACTTTAAGTTCAATCGGTCCAGCAGAACTTGACTTTAAGTTTGAAATAGGTTTTCAAAATGGCGGCCGTGGTGGCCATATTGGATTTCTGATCGACCCAAAAAATAACAACACTTTGTCAGGACCATGAGGCGATCATTCCTACCAACTTTCAGTTCAATCGGTCCAGCAGAACTTGACTTTAAGTTTGAAATAGGTTTTCAAAATGGTGGCCGTGGCGGCCATATTGGATTTCTGATCGACCCGAAAAATAACAACACTTTGTCAGGACCATGAGGCGATCATTCCTACCAACTTTCAGTTCAATCGGCCCAGCAGAACTTGACTTTAAGTTTGAAATGTAAAATGTTAACGGACGACGGACGACGGACGACGACGGACGAAAACGGATAGCAATAGGTCACTTGAGCTAAAGCTCAGGTGACCTAAAAATGCTTGCACTGATGTTTTTGTTACCAAGAGTGATTGTCATCACTGTAATGTTCACATTTATGGAATTGGTTCTTTGCTAATGTACTCTGCCTAATGCCTTTTAATCAGGGCATACAGTAGACCATTGAGAGTATGTTTTTGACTCCCCTTAATTTGATTTGACTTGTGGGTTTATAGGGACATGTCTACCATAATTGGCTACGTATATACAATTTACAAAAATTGGAATTATTTTCCCAAATAAAATCCATATTGTCCTTGTTAGACCCCACATGAACATCCATGCCAAAAATTAGGACAATAACACATGATCTGACTGAATTGTAGACCACTGAAAAACTTGCACCAAACCTTGAACCGGACGGACGGAGACGCTATACCATAATACCCCTGTCGAATTTCGACCGGCGTATAAAAAGCATGTACTTATTCACAACAGAAAATATTCATAAAGTTACCCTTCAACTTATTTATCAGCATCATATAGATGATATAAATCTCACGAGTGTCGCAACAGCATATATATATATATGTAAACAAGTGTACAAAAAATATTACAGTATTCTGTTTCAGTTGTGAACTATATATAAGTTATCCATATTATTAAATATAATGGGTTACAAAATATTTAGCAACTAGAAATATGTCAGAATGACATGAAAGTCACCCCATCATTCTGTATGATCATTTTTCCGATAAATCATTGACCAAGCTACAACGGATATATTTCCACCTGTCAATCAAAATAGTAAACAATTACCAGGTGTAAATACATACATGCTGTTGAGGTAGCCATGGCAACACAGGGATTTAATAGGAAAGCATGTCGCAAATATAACGTTAGCGTTGACAGACACCTCAAATAGGGGGAGATCTGCGCGCTGACACGTCACCTGGCATGGGCAGAACAGGTAATTGGAATATAACGATGTTGTTTTCACAACAATAAGTTTCAGAAAAGATTCAATTTTTTATACGGATAAATCTTCTACTATTTTTTGTTATGAAATACACTTTTCCAAGTAGTTTTCTGACTGAATCGGTCATCGATATCGGCAGAATGTGTACTGTACGCTTAAAGGCAGTCACTCCGACGAGGACCACCAACAGCCGAATTCGCAAGACATGAAGAACACCAAACAATTG